ACCGGTCAAAGTTTGCGCACCAGGACAGGTGGGTCCCTTGGCCGTGGGGACTGCTACCGGTCAAAGTTTGCGCACCAGGACAGGTGGGTCCCTTGGCCGTGGGGACTGCTACCGGTCAAAGTTTGCGCACCAGGACAGGTGGGTCCCTTGGCCGTGGGGACTGCTACCGGTCAAAGTTTGCGCACCAGGACAGGTGGGTCCCTTGGCCGTGGGGACTGCTACCGGTCAAAGTTTGCGCACCAGGACAGGTGGGTCCCTTGGCCGTGGGGACTGCTACCGGTCAAAGTTTGCGCACCAGGACAGGTGGGTCCCTTGGCCGTGGGGACTGCTACCGGTCAAAGTTTGCGCACCAGGACAGGTGGGTCCCTTGGCCGTGGGGACTGCTACCGGTCAAAGTTTGCGCACCAGGACAGGTGGGTCCCTTGGCCGTGGGGACTGCTACCGGTCAAAGTTTGCGCACCAGGACAGGTGGGTCCCTTGGCCGTGGGGACTGCTACCGGTCAAAGTTTGCGCACCAGGACAGGTGGGTCCCTTGGCCGTGGGGACTGCTACCGGTCAAAGTTTGCGCACCAGGACAGGTGGGTCCCTTGGCCGTGGGGACTGCTACCGGTCAAAGTTTGCGCACCAGGACAGGTGGGTCCCTTGGCCGTGGGGACTGCTACCGGTCAAAGTTTGCGCACCAGGACAGGTGGGTCCCTTGGCCGTGGGGACTGCTACCGGTCAAAGTTTGCGCACCAGGACAGGTGGGTCCCTTGGCCGTGGGGACTGCTACCGGTCAAAGTTTGCGCACCAGGACAGGTGGGTCCCTTGGCCGTGGGGACTGCTACCGGTCAAAGTTTGCGCACCAGGACAGGTGGGTCCCTTGGCCGTGGGGACTGCTACCGGTCAAAGTTTGCGCACCAGGACAGGTGGGTCCCTTGGCCGTGGGGACTGCTACCGGTCAAAGTTTGCGCACCAGGACAGGTGGGTCCCTTGGCCGTGGGGACTGCTACCGGTCAAAGTTTGCGCACCAGGACAGGTGGGTCCCTTGGCCGTGGGGACTGCTACCGGTCAAAGTTTGCGCACCAGGACAGGTGGGTCCCTTGGCCGTGGGGACTGCTACCGGTCAAAGTTTGCGCACCAGGACAGGTGGGTCCCTTGGCCGTGGGGACTGCTACCGGTCAAAGTTTGCGCACCAGGACAGGTGGGTCCCTTGGCCGTGGGGACTGCTACCGGTCAAAGTTTGCGCACCAGGACAGGTGGGTCCCTTGGCCGTGGGGACTGCTACCGGTCAAAGTTTGCGCACCAGGACAGGTGGGTCCCTTGGCCGTGGGGACTGCTACCGGTCAAAGTTTGCGCACCAGGACAGGTGGGTCCCTTGGCCGTGGGGACTGCTACCGGTCAAAGTTTGCGCACCAGGACAGGTGGGTCCCTTGGCCGTGGGGACTGCTACCGGTCAAAGTTTGCGCACCAGGACAGGTGGGTCCCTTGGCCGTGGGGACTGCTACCGGTCAAAGTTTGCGCACCAGGACAGGTGGGTCCCTTGGCCGTGGGGACTGCTACCGGTCAAAGTTTGCGCACCAGGACAGGTGGGTCCCTTGGCCGTGGGGACTGCTACCGGTCAAAGTTTGCGCACCAGGACAGGTGGGTCCCTTGGCCGTGGGGACTGCTACCGGTCAAAGTTTGCGCACCAGGACAGGTGGGTCCCTTGGCCGTGGGGACTGCTACCGGTCAAAGTTTGCGCACCAGGACAGGTGGGTCCCTTGGCCGTGGGGACTGCTACCGGTCAAAGTTTGCGCACCAGGACAGGTGGGTCCCTTGGCCGTGGGGACTGCTACCGGTCAAAGTTTGCGCACCAGGACAGGTGGGTCCCTTGGCCGTGGGGACTGCTACCGGTCAAAGTTTGCGCACCAGGACAGGTGGGTCCCTTGGCCGTGGGGACTGCTACCGGTCAAAGTTTGCGCACCAGGACAGGTGGGTCCCTTGGCCGTGGGGACTGCTACCGGTCAAAGTTTGCGCACCAGGACAGGTGGGTCCCTTGGCCGTGGGGACTGCTACCGGTCAAAGTTTGCGCACCAGGACAGGTGGGTCCCTTGGCCGTGGGGACTGCTACCGGTCAAAGTTTGCGCACCAGGACAGGTGGGTCCCTTGGCCGTGGGGACTGCTACCGGTCAAAGTTTGCGCACCAGGACAGGTGGGTCCCTTGGCCGTGGGGACTGCTACCGGTCAAAGTTTGCGCACCAGGACAGGTGGGTCCCTTGGCCGTGGGGACTGCTACCGGTCAAAGTTTGCGCACCAGGACAGGTGGGTCCCTTGGCCGTGGGGACTGCTACCGGTCAAAGTTTGCGCACCAGGACAGGTGGGTCCCTTGGCCGTGGGGACTGCTACCGGTCAAAGTTTGCGCACCAGGACAGGTGGGTCCCTTGGCCGTGGGGACTGCTACCGGTCAAAGTTTGCGCACCAGGACAGGTGGGTCCCTTGGCCGTGGGGACTGCTACCGGTCAAAGTTTGCGCACCAGGACAGGTGGGTCCCTTGGCCGTGGGGACTGCTACCGGTCAAAGTTTGCGCACCAGGACAGGTGGGTCCCTTGGCCGTGGGGACTGCTACCGGTCAAAGTTTGCGCACCAGGACAGGTGGGTCCCTTGGCCGTGGGGACTGCTACCGGTCAAAGTTTGCGCACCAGGACAGGTGGGTCCCTTGGCCGTGGGGACTGCTACCGGTCAAAGTTTGCGCACCAGGACAGGTGGGTCCCTTGGCCGTGGGGACTGCTACCGGTCAAAGTTTGCGCACCAGGACAGGTGGGTCCCTTGGCCGTGGGGACTGCTACCGGTCAAAGTTTGCGCACCAGGACAGGTGGGTCCCTTGGCCGTGGGGACTGCTACCGGTCAAAGTTTGCGCACCAGGACAGGTGGGTCCCTTGGCCGTGGGGACTGCTACCGGTCAAAGTTTGCGCACCAGGACAGGTGGGTCCCTTGGCCGTGGGGACTGCTACCGGTCAAAGTTTGCGCACCAGGACAGGTGGGTCCCTTGGCCGTGGGGACTGCTACCGGTCAAAGTTTGCGCACCAGGACAGGTGGGTCCCTTGGCCGTGGGGACTGCTACCGGTCAAAGTTTGCGCACCAGGACAGGTGGGTCCCTTGGCCGTGGGGACTGCTACCGGTCAAAGTTTGCGCACCAGGACAGGTGGGTCCCTTGGCCGTGGGGACTGCTACCGGTCAAAGTTTGCGCACCAGGACAGGTGGGTCCCTTGGCCGTGGGGACTGCTACCGGTCAAAGTTTGCGCACCAGGACAGGTGGGTCCCTTGGCCGTGGGGACTGCTACCGGTCAAAGTTTGCGCACCAGGACAGGTGGGTCCCTTGGCCGTGGGGACTGCTACCGGTCAAAGTTTGCGCACCAGGACAGGTGGGTCCCTTGGCCGTGGGGACTGCTACCGGTCAAAGTTTGCGCACCAGGACAGGTGGGTCCCTTGGCCGTGGGGACTGCTACCGGTCAAAGTTTGCGCACCAGGACAGGTGGGTCCCTTGGCCGTGGGGACTGCTACCGGTCAAAGTTTGCGCACCAGGACAGGTGGGTCCCTTGGCCGTGGGGACTGCTACCGGTCAAAGTTTGCGCACCAGGACAGGTGGGTCCCTTGGCCGTGGGGACTGCTACCGGTCAAAGTTTGCGCACCAGGACAGGTGGGTCCCTTGGCCGTGGGGACTGCTACCGGTCAAAGTTTGCGCACCAGGACAGGTGGGTCCCTTGGCCGTGGGGACTGCTACCGGTCAAAGTTTGCGCACCAGGACAGGTGGGTCCCTTGGCCGTGGGGACTGCTACCGGTCAAAGTTTGCGCACCAGGACAGGTGGGTCCCTTGGCCGTGGGGACTGCTACCGGTCAAAGTTTGCGCACCAGGACAGGTGGGTCCCTTGGCCGTGGGGACTGCTACCGGTCAAAGTTTGCGCACCAGGACAGGTGGGTCCCTTGGCCGTGGGGACTGCTACCGGTCAAAGTTTGCGCACCAGGACAGGTGGGTCCCTTGGCCGTGGGGACTGCTACCGGTCAAAGTTTGCGCACCAGGACAGGTGGGTCCCTTGGCCGTGGGGACTGCTACCGGTCAAAGTTTGCGCACCAGGACAGGTGGGTCCCTCCTCTCTGGCACCGGCATCCGTGCATTTCTTCCTAGTAGCAGGGCAATTGTTTTCTGGGCTGGTCTTTGGAGACTGCTGCCTGCCCGCACACGCACAGTGCTTCGTCTGATGCAGCAAAGCATGGTTTTGGGACGCTGACAAGTTGCCTTTGACTCACTCAACCCCCCCATTCTCCTTTTATTCCCCCCCCCCCTTATCCTCCTCTCAATACAGTGTGATGTGTGTCAAGTTCGTGACACACACACTACTTCTTCTCATGCGGCAAGGACAGAAGGGTGTGCTACTGGGATGCTGACAAGCTGACCATGTCTTATTCAACCCCCTTGCTCCCCCCTCCCTTTCCATCCCACCCTTCTTATCACCCTCTCTCTCAATGCAGTGTGATGAGTGTCAAGTTCGTGCCCCGCACGCATTACTTCTTCTCGTGTGGCAAGGACCGGAGGGTGCGGTACTGGGATGCTGACAAGTTCCAGCTGCTGCTCACACTAGAGGGGCACCATGCAGAGGTGAGCTGGGCTTGACTGCGTGTGCTTTGACCCGGGCAAATATGCTTCCCTTTTCACACCTGTCAGCACTGACGACGTGCGCTGCTGGGATGCTGACAAGTTCCAGCTGCTGCTCACGCTAGAGGGGCACCACGCTGAGGTGAGCGATGTTGTAGCTGTGGACAGAGCCATGTGAGGTGGCCTGACTCCTTTGACTTCTTTGACTTGACACATAAGGCCTAGTGTATGTGAAGGACCGAAGGATGCGGTACTGGGATGAGGACAAGTTCCAGCTGCTGCTCACACTGGAGGGGCACCACGCAGAGGTGAGCTGTGCCACATGCTGCCCGCCATCCTACCCGTCATGCTGCCCGCCATCCTACCCGTCATGCTGCCCGCCATCCTACCCGTCATGCTGCCCGCCATCCTACCCGTCATGCTGCCCGCCATCCTACCCGTCATGCTGCCCGCCATCCATCCTACCCGTCATGCTGCCCGCCATCCTACCCGTCATGCTGCCCGCCATCCATCCTACCCGTCATGCTGCCCGCCATCCTACCCGTCATGCTGCCCGCCATCCTAACCGTCATGCTGCCCGCCATCCTACCCGTCATGCTGCCCGCCATCCTACCCGTCATGCTGCCCGCCATCCTACCCGTCATGCTGCCCTTCATCCACCCAAGGTTTCCCAACTTCCCTTCCCCACCTTCTCCCCTCCTACCCTCCTCCGCACTTCCCTTCTCCCCTTCTTCCACACAGGTCTGGTCACTAGCCATGTGAATTCCTCGTGTCCGGCTCGCACGATCGCTCCATCCGCCGGTGTCGGCATATGAGCCCTTGTTATTTTCCACAGCTTTCAAACCTCTTTCCCTCCCCCCCTCTTAACACGCACGCGTGTGCTGCTGAACGCTCCTCTCCCTGCCACACAGGTCTGGTCACTAGCCATCAGCCCTCTCGGTGATTTCCTTGTGCCCGGCTCTCACGATCGCTCCATACGCCGCTGGCAGCGCACGGATGAGCCCTTCTTCCTCGAGGTTAGTCCTGTTCTTCAGGAAAATATTCTCTTTTCGTCTTTTTCTTGTGTAAAATACTTCCTCGTGTCCGGCTCGCACGATCGCTCCATCTGTTGCTGGCAGCGCACTGACGAGCCCTTTTTCCTGGAGGTTGGTTCTGTGGGGAGGGGGGTTGTGGGGGTAGGAGTGGGGGATGTGTGGTGGGATGGGGATTGTTCAACATCCACCGCTGGCAGCACACCGACCAGCCCTTCTGCCAACATCCCTAATATAGCTCTCCTTTTGTGGTTTTTGAGGAGCGAGAGAAGGAGTTCTCAAAAAACACACGCTGCAACATATTTCTCTCCTTTTGCATGAGGAGCGAGAGAAGGAGTTCAAAGCTATGTTTAGGGTTTAGGGTTTAGGGTTTAGGGTTTAGGGTTCGATGCACCTTTGTTCCATTTTCCTCTCCCCTTTCCCCTTTCCTCCATCTCCCCTTCCTCAGGAAGAGCGCGAGAAGCAGCTCGAAGCCATGTTTGAAGCCCGAGCAGTGGCACTACCAACCGACGCACGCCGCCTGGATGGGGCCGACGACGAGGAGGGCGGCGAAGGGGCAGAGGCGGCGGGGCCGGGCGGCGCAGCGGGGGAGCTGGGCGGCGTGGGAGGGGCGGCAAGGGGCACGCAGGAGACGGTTTGGGCGGCAGACTCGATCATTGAGGCGGTGGAGCTGGCGTCCATGGAGGAAGCTCGGATGGTTCCCTTGATCAAGGCAAGTTGAGACGTCAAAGGCCATGTTTCCTCCCGTCGTTAAGGTAGATTCAACCTGTTCAATGTAGTGAGTCGATTTTTGAGTCGACTCAAAAATCGATTCAACCTGTTCAATGCGAGTCACCTGTCATCAAAGAATGCACTCGATCATCGAGGAGGCGGGACAGGCATCGATGGAGGAGGCTCGGATGGTTCCCTTCATCAATCAAGGTGGGTTCACAGTTTCCGATTGTCTCAGAATATGAATCCCTTGTTTGATTCGAAGTGGACAGTCGATGATCGAGGCGGTGGAGCTGGTTTCCATGGAAGAGGCTCGCATGGTTCCCTTCATCAAGGCAAGTTTCAGAATCTGAGACGTCACAGAACATGCTACCCGTCATTAAGGTAGATTCAGCTTGTTCAGTGCGGGTCACCTGTCATCAAAGTAGGCCCTCGATCATAGAGGCGGTGGAGCTGGCTTCCATGAAGGAGGCTCGCATGGTTCCCTTCATCCAAGTATGCCTATCTTCCTCCCTTCTTCCCCACCACTCTCCCCGCATCTTTCTTCCCCGCTCTCCTCCCATCTCTCTCATGAGTATCCTCTCATATCTCTTTCCAACCCCCCCATCTCTCCCAATCACCACTGCAGGACCCCAGCCACCCCACCTTTCTGCTCCCCTCCTTCCAGCCCAACGTGCTGCTCCTCGGCCACGCGCCCGCTGCCTGCATGACGCCCACTCTCACTGTTTCTGTCTCTCCCTCGTCTCTCTCTGTCTTCTATATTTCACCACTGCAGGACCCCAGCGATCCCACCTCTCTGCTGCCATCTTTCCAGCCCAACGTGCTGCTCCTCGGCCACTCGCCCGCGGCCTTTGTGCTGCGAGCTCTCGCCAGAGTCAAGCCTTCGGAGCTGGAGCAAGCGCTGCTGGTGCTGCCGTTCACAGTGGCCCTACGCATTCTCCACTTCGCCCCCCACTGGCTGCACCGCCCACTGCCACAGCTCGAGTTTGCCGCCCGGGCACTGGTCTCCCTCGTGCGCATCCACCACTCGCAGCTCGTTGCTTCACCTACGGCCCGCCCACTGCTTGCAGCCGTGCACACACTACTGAGAGCATCCCTCAAGGTATGATATCGGAGAAGGTAGGAGGAGGTGGGTGGGGGCGTGGGAGTTTGCCGCCCGTACACTCGTCTCCCTCGTCCGCATCCACCACTCACAGCTCGTGGCCACGCCCACTGCGCGCCCATTGCTAGCTGCCGTACACACACTTTTGCGGGCGTCGCTCAAGGTATGGTATTGGGGGGTGGGAGGGGGGGTGCAGAAGTGTGGAAGGAGGGAGAAATAGGGGAGGGGGGAGGGATGCTATCCACCACTCGCAGCTCGTCGCCACGCCCACCGCCCGCCCGCTATTGGCTGCAGTGCACACACTGCTACGGGCGTCTCTCAAGGTATGGTTTTTGAGGGGGAAGGGGTGGGGGGGGTGCCTGTCTCTCTCGCAGCTTGTCACTATCCCTACCGTCTGTGCATATTTGGTTCTGCTCTGCATATGTGTGTGTATTTACATATTTGCATTTTTGCAAGCGACCAGCTATCTATCTCAAGTGTTCTTGCTAACCACAATCGTTTTGCTAACTGGTGCATATTTGCGTGTACTCTGGCATGGCACCGCATGCCATGGTATGGTGTGTGTGGTTTTTGCGATGGCATGACATGGTGTATGTCCTGTGCTATGGCATGACAGGGCGCAGTAGCAACAGTGGGATGCAACTTGGCTGCCATAAGCCACATCAAGGTGAGCTGCAGCCCTGTTATTTCCCTCAGAGCCTGTTATTTCCCTCAGAGCCTGTTATTTCCCTCAGAGCCTGTTATTTCCCTCAGAGCCTGTTATTTCCCTCAGAGCCTGTTATTTCCCTCAGAGCCTGTTATTTCCACGAGTCGAATAAATGTCTCCTCATCCTGGCTGCCATAAGCCACATCGAGGTGAGTTGCAGCCCTGCTGTGTCTGTAAAATTTACCCTTCACGTGAAGGTCTTGTTTAAGTTTTGAGACGTCTCAAAACTAGACGTCTCAAAACTAGACGTCTCAAAACTAGACGTCTCAAAACCCTTCACCTGAAGGTCTTGTTAAATGTCCCGCCTGGGTTTTTCTAAAATTCTTGGTTTGCTATTTTCGTGTCAAGGTAGGCCAATTCAGCTGACTTATTCTCACATTCCCCCCATCCTCTCCCTGTGACCCCAGTCCCTTCTGGCATCATCCCAAGCGTCTATCGAAGGAGGGGACGGCAAACGTGTGACATGCTGACTCATGGTCATAATCCCCCCATCCTTACCCCCTGTTCCCTGCGACCTCATCCCCTTCTGGCATCATCCCAAGCGTCTATCGAAGGAGGGGACGGCAAACGTGTGACATGCTGACTCATGGTCATAAACCCCCATCCTTAGCCCCTGTTCCCTGCGACCTCATCCCCTTCTGGCATCATCCCAAGCGTCTATCGAAGGAGGGGACGGCAAACGTGTGACATGCTGACTCATGGTCATAATCCCCCAATCCTTACCCCCTGTTCCCTGCGACCTCATCCCCTTCTGGCATCATCCCAAGCGTCCATAGGAGGGAGACAGCACGGGCATGGCTGAGAAGGTGAAAGAGCTAAGGGAGCGGCTGGCCAAGGGGCGCAACACTGTTGTTGATTCATCCTCATTTGATCATCCGACCCCCATCCTCTCCCCCTGTGTTTCACGTCCCTGCAGACCCTTCTGGCCTCATCCCAGGCGTCCATTGAGGGGGGAGACGGCACAGGAATGGCAGAAAAGGTGAAAGAGATTAGAGAGCGGTTGGCTAAGGGGCGCAATGCAGTCGTTGCAGAGAAGCTGCAGAGGAGCAAGGCAGAGAAGCGCAAGCGCAAGGCGGAGAAGCAAAAGGTGAAGAGCTGATGGGTGTGCATGGCACGGGGATGGCTGGTGCGGGAGATCAGATAGATCTGCAAGTGCAATGGATAGATGGTGCGGGGGGTAGATCTGGCTGGTACTGGCCATGGGGTGCAGTGCGATGATTGTGGAGAAGCTGTAAGAGGAACAAGGAGGAGCGCAAGGGATAGAAGGTACCCAAGTAAGGTACCGTAGCTCGATTCTCTCTTCTCTTTACTCATGAGACAAACAATGATGTAAGGTAAGAGTAAGTTTCTTAGCCTAAAGCCCATCAATATACTGTTTTGCAACAGGTGGGAGGGAGGAGCGCTGCTCAGCCTGCTGCTGGAAACTAGCAGCACGGTACATGGTAGTTAGTATAATAGTACAGTACGTGAAATCTAAGATACAAAACGGCCTTGCACTTGCAACTAAAAAAGAAGCCTGGCACAACAGGCAGCAGCCTGTGGAAACAGCATTTTGCTGTTAATGCAGCACCTACCATCTTAGCTCATGAATTTGCTGCATCTACTGGTACTTTAAAAAAGAACAAAAAAGCCAAGGCACAGAATGCGTACTATATACAGTGGGATGGGAGTGGCGAAATCAGTAAGCCGGGAGGGGAGCGGAGAGATGGGGATGGCGGAACGGCAGCGGTCCCCCCTAAGCCATATGCAGGTCAAATCCTCCTCCGGGGCAGGACGGCACCTGGTTGTGCGGAGAATGCTTTTGAGGCGCCCAAAAGTTCCCCCTAAGCCATGTGCAGGTAAAATCCTCCTCCAGGATGGGGCAGCATCTGGTTGCGGAGAGCGCAGCTACGGTAACAAACGAATCTTCGACCCTCTAGGGAAGACGAGCTGCTAGCTGCCTGGCACAGTGCATGAGCTCCCACACATCTAGCTGTCCTGAGAGACTGTTGCAGAGCAGCAGCACCTCGTCCAGGCCCTGGCAGCACAGCACCTGCTCCCTGCGGCTCACAAGAATGGCTGCCACCACAAAGAGCAGGAAGTCTGGCCGCGGCCGGCACTCCTGCCACGCCTTCTTCCTCCTACTGCCGCTCACCCTGCTCGCATCCCTGTGTGGATCTCTGCGTGTATCTTCAATCGTGTCCCTGCTTGCATCTCTGCTAACTTTGCCAGTACATGTGTTACGTGCACTGTTGCTGCTGCTGGTGGCGGTGTCACCGGCAGCAGCAGCGGTGGTGGTGGTGGCGTCAGAACAACTGGAGCTCTTATCAGCAGCCGCCCAGCCAAAAGCACCGCCCCATCCGTTGTCCAGCAGAGGGGCGCTCTCGTCGTCCCACTCCCACCGCTCCCTTTCCCCCTCCCCTCCCTCCTCGCCCTTGCGCTCCCCCTCCCCACGCCCTTTGTCCTCTGCCTCCTCCGCCTCTACCTTCTCCCACTCGCAATCCTCTCCCGCCTCTGCCTCACTGCGTGTACCCCCTGACGAGTCCCCGCCTTTACCTGCTTCGTTTCCACCGCCTTCAGTGCCAGCTTCAGCCACAGTACCCACCGCAGCCGCATCAGCTCCAGCAGCAGCAGCAGCAGCAGCAGAAGCAGCAGCAGCTGCAGCAGAAGTGGGCGCGGCCGCAGCAGCAGTAACAGGAGCGGCGGCAGCAGCAGCGGCACGGGCAACGTTCGCAGCAGCAGCAGCGGCAGCGGCATCGGCCCACATGACTTCCCACAGACACATGGTGTGCTCAAACGACAGCTCGCGCCTCATCAGCACCACCACGCATCTGTATGCAAACATGCAGCTCTCCGCCCCCACTGCCTCCAGATGCGCGTATAAAGGAGGGTCTGCTGTGCGCAGCAATGCTGCTACCCGCGCCAGCTGGCGCCGGATGCCTCGTTCGTCCGTTCTGAAGTTGTGCCGAGCGCCGCCGCCCGCACAGCAGGTGCTATACATAGTGGTGCCGCTGCCATCGCTGTCAGCAACGCCAGAGCAGTCGCTGCTGCCCACACCTCCTCTCTGCATGAACGCCACGAAGCACCAAAACGCCTCCGAATCCTCCTCCATAAGAGCTACAAACGGGGATAGGAGATCGCTCATGCCTTGACAATACCCCACCTCGGGATCATACACCGCATATGCCTCCAAAATCGCCACCAGCCGGGCGGCATGCAGCCGCTGGGGCGGCGACAGGTGTCCGTGTTCTGGCAGGCCGGCGGCTGCTGCTGCCTCTAGTGCTTCTTCGGGCGGGAAGGCCTTTTGGGTGGAATAAGGGATCCACGCAGCGTTCATTCGCACCGCATCCAACCGCATTATACGCTGCCAGGTGACAAAATTCTCCAGGGACCCGCTGCCCCGCCCGCAGGTGCTGCCCCTGCCGATTCCTGCCTCTCCTCCTGCCCCTCCTCCTGCTGCTCCTCCTCTGCTACTGCTGGTGCGCGGGCGGAAGCACTCCGGGATCTTGCAGTCTAGCGGGTGCTCTTGGCGTTGCTCACGTGAGGCATCATCACCATCATCATCATCATCATCATCATCACCACCACCACCATCATCATCATCCTTGTCATCTTCCTTTTCATCATCGGCCGTGTTGCCGCCATCTCCCCCACAGCTACCTCCAGAGGCTTCTCTGCCCTCTGAACCATCCGCCTCCTCCCCTGCGCCTGCTCCCGCGCTCGCGACAGCTTCTGCTTCTCCTGCTTCGCCTGAGAGGGCACCAGGGGCATCTGCAGCCTCCAGGGCAGAACCACCACCAGCATCAGCGTCAGCAGCAGCGGCATGAGCAGCCTCCTCACGTGCGACATCCACGAAAGACTCGGTGGATACGGACAGACTGGCGCATGCGGAGTCCACGCACACAGCATCACTGAACTCGTCATCGCTCGCGTTACCAACACCACTGTTTTCGCCACCATTGCTACCATTACCGTCCTCATTTCCACTCCCACTTCCATCAGCATTGCCGCCATTATCCCCTCTGACCCTGGACGTGACCTCCTCCTGACTGCTGCCGCCTTCGTTGCTCTTTCCTCTCTCCGACTCCTCCCCCTCCCTTTCCTCTCTCTCCTCCCTCTCCCTTTCCTCCCTCTCCCTCTCCTCTCCCTCCTTCATCTGCCTCTCTTCCCTCTCCCGCTCCTCCCTATCCTCCCTCTCCTCCTCCTCCTTCATCCTCCTCGTCGCCTCCTCCTCCGCCTGCCGCGCAATCACCGCCACGCGCGCCGCAATCGCGCGGATCTCCTCGTACAGCACGCGCCTCTGCGCGCGCAGCTGCGCCCTCTCCGCCTCCGTGCTCTCCGCTTCGTACCTGGAGCACATAGCGAAACGCGTTAGCGACAACCAGGAAAGGAGCGCGACGTTAAGAAATAGAAGAAAAAAAAACGTGGGGAGTGAATCAATAATACTGAATCCCTCACAGCCTGCGCGAATATGCGAACGAGGTGGGAATGGGAGGAAGTGAAGAGGCTCGGAGGGGGAGAGGTGGTGAGGGAAACGAGCAAGGGCGAGAGAGAGGAGGGTGGAGGAGCATGGGGAAAGGAAGTGCTTGGAAATGAGCTTACAGGCCAAGGAGAAACGGCCAGACCTCGGCTCTGATCTCCGCGTCGCATCCCTGCGAATACGGCGCCAGACACCAAGTGATATCCGCGGGGAGGGGGGGGAGGGAGGAGAGGTGACGGGAGGGAGGTCGAGAAACGGTACGATGAAAGGTCAACAGCAGGGAAGGCGTTGGGAACGAAAAAAGGAAAGGAAAAAAAAAATGGAAGTACATCATTCACTTCGCAGACAAATGAGGGTGATGCTGAACCGGATCCTTCCAATAACGAGTGCAATAGCTCGTAGCGAAGTCGCTTACCCCAAGCCGAACACGACCAATAGCCGTCACGCCGCCGCCCTTCAGGCGACCGGTGGCGTCGTCGAAGCAATCCCTCCACTGCTGCACCGTCAGCGGCGCAGGCCTGACAGCCTTGGGTTTGTCCTCCCAAGGCAGCATGAACTGACCCCTGCAGGATGGCAACCAGACGGGAAAAAAAGTAGACATAGTAGACGTTTAACACGTCAGACGAGTAGCTTAAAACACGAGGACATAGGGCTGTAGCCTAGTTACATCAGGAAAGGATTCGAGCAGGCTGGAAGTGAAGTGTACTTAAGAGACGCTGAGATAGTACTGAAGCACGCCAAAGATGCTGACTAAATACGCGATAAGCACGAGACGTACTGCTCCCGGAGAACGATGATGCCTCCGACCGTCACCGCTGCAGCGACGCCGCCGATCGCGGCGACCCCGACGGCAACGGCTAAGCCCGCTGCGACCTTGAACGGGTCGATATCGGAGCCCATGGATGGCATGCTCATGTTGTTGAGGTTCCCCGGAATTCCGTCGATGAACCCCATAATTCCGCGGCTCATGCTGAACTGGTCCTTAGATATCAGCGAGCTTGGTTGCACCATTCAGGGAGACGCGGATGCAGAACACATTAGGACTCGAGCGGTCCGCGGATTCTAAAGCCTGAGAAAGTCACACGAGAAAGAGGTAGCATGGCAAGGACAGACACTGATGTTTGTCCAGGGAGCTTGTGCAATACTGAACTGCACAAGCAGTAGATTCTCCAAGCGAAACATGCATCAGGCTTCAAGTTTCGGGCACTATGGGGATGCTATGGTGGAGAGGGGAGTGAAGGGGAACTTGGCTTGTATTATTGGCAGAGCGTTTCTCGATCGAAGCTAATACCAGAAATCTTCAGGGCTTAGCGCACTGTAAGCCTGAATACCGCGTAAACATACATCTCCACCGTACAAAAGCGCATGATGCGATGGGGGGTATGTGAAGTGGAGAACTTCCCTTCGAAAAAACAGGTTTGTGTTGGTGGCAAAGAGGGCTGGCGGCTGGGTGGGGAGGTGAAGTGAGCGCGGAGAGGGAAAATTCGCTTTGGCGCGTGCGGATGGCGCCATCCGCCTGCAGACAGGTGGATGAAGGCGGATGGCGCGAAACTGGGGGTGCGGGCGGATGTCGAGATCTTCCAGAGACGGGGGAAAAGGGCGCTAGCACTGCGCGGCTTGTGCTGGTTGGCTTGGTGGATTTCAATGTCATTCTTGTTTGATCGGACGGTAGTGACGGTGCTGCTCATTCAATGGCCGGTCAGTGATACACCTCGAACAGCTTCTGACAGCACTGCTGTCATGCAGAAAAGCGGGGAACTCGACATAATTTGACTCAATGCAACGTCAATTGGCCCACGGGTGACGGCTGCTTTCATCAGGCATGAATCACTCCATGCGTGTGAAGCATGGCGTTGCAATGATTCCTGTTTGGTGTGCAACGCTGGGCAGCTTGGGCGGGATACCCTTCAAAACAGTTAGCCGTCAGAGAATTGCGTGGACACTTATCCCTGCTGGGTAGTTGCTCATTAGCACGATCATATGTATTTTGTTCATGGTTTCAACGAATGTTACATGCACCAGCTAGCGAGGAAAGGTTACCCTGGCTACGCCATGTGCCAGCTTTCGTGACGACAGGCTGGTAGGCACTTTTGTGGCGAAGCCTTGACCATTAGCTACTTTCCACGTCGCCTCCAAGCCCACACATCCTGGGGCCCAGGGAGCCCGTTGAACCACACAGGGAGGAGGCAGCGTGGCTTCACACGAGCTGAGTAGGCTTGCCGTGTCGTAACATCCTGTCATCGGGAATTCCGCGGGCCTGTCAGCGCCTGGTGGGCTGAATGGATTTCCACTGCGGCTAGACACACGTGGCTCGTTATCACAGCCACAAACGCATCAATTTATTCCTATAGCGCCTCGACTACAAAACTATTGCCTTGCGAATTCCACACTTCCTGGTGCTTTACTAAGAGGCGTGCTTGGTTTCCGATTGGTTGACACCTGATGAAGATGAGGCTGTGGGAAAGCTCGCACGGTTTTGTAGATTTTGCTGCGGTCCAAAGCGATAACTCTCGATAACCATATGTTGATCCATCCCAAAACTCGCATCACAAAGTGGCAGCTCCTTCAGGCAGTTAGGCTGGACTCTCCTCTCGTGGAGTCAAGTTGTCGAGAGTGTTGGGGTTGGGGGAGTCAGGTTTGGAACGATCAGTAATCTCGAGTCTTGATCACATCAAAACCTGGAAACAGCATCAATAATCTCTCCTCCTGCTTTTCTCCTCTCAGCATTCTCTCTCGTACTCAGCTCCTTGTGAGCTGTGAGAAGAGACTCTCAGTTACTTTCAGGGGCTTTACCTTGATATCTGTTGGTTGCCGATCGCTCCCTGTGCAACCATGTCGCACGCAGTCACGATCCGCAGCACGCCCGTCGAGGCTTCTCTGCTCGAGTCCGCCGTGGCTCGTCCTGCCGCGTCTTCCCAGCGGCGTGTGCGGTTGAGCGGACTCAAGGCTTTCCGCGGAGGACATGTAAGAATGTGATATAAGTACAGTTGCAGATAGCGTTCAGGGATCGATGGCACGTGCAGGTTTGTTTCTTCGAAAGCAGGGCCATTTATGAATGAAGAACAACAACAGAAACCAATCACGATGATAGGTCTGGAACCGCAAGGCTATGGGTCACGCCTGGCACCGCATCATTACGTTGCGTCAGATGGAAAATAATACTTTCCGGGTTTATACATTCTCTGGCACTCTTGCTCTCTCTTTCTGATTTAAGTTCTCTTTGTCTGAACGAGCCGGATCACACTCGCAACGACGGTGCAAGGGACAGCTGTTGGTAGGCTACTACTTGCTTTTGGCTTATATTACTGGTCGTGTTTGCATCCTTCCTGTCATTGATTGTAACAGCTGGGTCAAACCTTTGCCACGTCACCTCAAGGCTCAGCCGTCGATCGGCTACAGTCCAAGCAGAGGATCCATGGCCGCTCCGCAGTGCGCGCCGCCGTCGCCGTTGAGGCTCCTGGTACGTGAATATACGATTACGCGAGGCCATGAGTTTAGTATTCGCCGTTTTCACCCCTTCCACATTGTCGCGTCTCTCATTAGCTCTTAAGCACTGACACGTCATCATGCGTTCTGGTTTAGTTGCTCCTGTCGCAGACGAATCAACGCTGGTAACCCGCTCAGACATTCGTAACATCGCCATCATTGCACACGTCGACCACGGCAAGACGACGCTCGTCGACGCCATGCTCAGACAAGCCAAGGTGCGTCCGTCGACGCCTCGTGTGACCAACCAATTAACACTCGGAAACCACAACCTCGTGCGAAAGTGTGTCAATCGCGTTCGGTATCAATTGTAACCGTGCTGGTCAAATTCACTTGAAAACCACAAGTCGTTGAATTTACTGAAGATGTTGCTGACGCCCCTCATTCGAACCCGTTTCTCCCTCGCTCCCTCGTACGCGTTATCAGGTGTTCCGCGACAACCAGCAGATGCAGGAGCGCATCATGGACAGCAACGACCTGGAGCGCGAGCGAGGCATCACGATCCTGAGCAAGAACACGGCCATCCGGTTCCGCGGCACCAAGATCAACATCATCGACACGCCCGGCCACTCCGACTTCGGCGGCGAGGTGGAGCGCGTGCTCAATATGGTCGACGGCGTGCTGCTGCTGGTGAGTCTTATACTGGTGTGAGTATTCTTTAGCAGGTATAGTTCGGCTGCTCATGAACCAATCAACCTCCCTGTTTACCTCCCCTGCTCCCTACTCTCCTCCCAGGTTGATTTAGTCGAGGGCCCCATGCCGCAGTCCCGCGCTTCGTGCTAAAGAAGGCTCTAGAGCTGGGGCACCGCGTGGTGGTGGTGGTGAACAATATCTGAGGCCCTCCTTCCCGCTGCTCCTTCCCCCTATCCCAGGTGGACTCGGTCGAAGGTCCCATGCCGCAGACCCGCTTCGTGCTGAAGAAGGCGTTGGAGCTGGGGCACCGCGTGGTGGTGGTGGTGAACAAGGTGGACCGCCCAGCGGCGCGCGTGCAGCACGTCATCAACGCCACCTTCGAGCTCTTCTGCGAGCTCGAGGCCACCGACGACCAGTGCGATTTCGCTACTGTCTACGCGAGTGGGATACAAGGGAAGGCTGGTATGGAGCCCGATGCGCTTTCTGACGATCTCGAGCCGCTGTTTGAGACAATAATTAAGTCCGTTCCGGGGCCGAAAGTGCAGCAGGACACGGCGCTGCAGATGCTGGTGACGAATTTGGATTACGACGAGCATAAGGGGAGGATTGCGATCGGGCGGGTTCATGCTGGGAGGATCGCGCGTGGGCAGGTGGCGAAGATTTGCACGCCCGATGGTGCCTGCCGCGTGGCGAAGGTCGTGGAGCTGTTCGTGTATGACAATTTCGCCCGCGTCCCCGTTGATGACGTGGAGGCTGGGGACATCTGCGCGTTATCTGGCCTGCCGGATGTGCAGATCGGCGAGACGATCGCGGATCGCGACGGCGACGCGCTGCCGACGATCTCGGTGGAGGAACCGACGGTCAAGATGAGCTTCTCCGTGAACGTGTCGCCGTTCGCGGGGCGCGAGGGGAAATTTGTGACGTCGCGGAACCTGCGTGACCGGCTGATGAGGGAGCTGGAGAGGAATCTGGCGATGAAGGTGGAGGACGGGGAGAGCGCGGACACATTCCTGGTCAGCGGACGCGGCACCCTTCACATCACCATCCTCATTGAAAACATGTGCGTGTGCTGGAAAGCGTCTTGTGACAGCGCTGGCTCTTCTCCCTTCCTTCCAGCGAAAGCGTCTTGTGGCTCCTCCTGAGGGTTCAAATCGTCAGTTGCTGGCTCTGCTCCCTCCCTCCCCCCTGCCATCTTTCTATCTCCCCACGCCTGCTCTCTCCTTTACGCACTCCTTTGGCTTTCGAGTCAGCTCTCAAGTAAACCGTATTTATCTATCCTCCCACTCCCATCACGTGCCGTGCTGGTTTGCCCTGGCAGGAGGAGGGAGGGGTACGAGTTCATGGTGGGGCCACCACGGGTCATTAACAAGATCGAAGACGGCAAGACGCTAGAGCCGTATGAGGTGAGGAGTCGTATGAATGAGGTGGGTGGGGGCCTTAGGAAGTCCTAAAGGCCACCACGGGTCATTAACAAAGTGGAGGACGGCAAGACGCTAGAGCCCTATGAGGTGAGGAGTTGTTGTCGGGTGGTGGAGGTTTTGAGAATGGAGCGTCACAGTTTCTGAAGGGCCTCAACAAAGGAGCGCGGTAGAGACATATATAGGGGGTTGCTAGTTTATGAGTCGAGGGTCTGATAGGTATCAAACCAGGTGCGTGAGAGAAATGAAGGTGCGGAAGAGTCGGAAGCGAGCTTGAAGGCTTGGGACAGAGGCTTTGGACGTGGAGGGAATAAATTTGACACAGCTGGTGAAGCCACAAACAAGCATGGAATTCTTTCAGACTCTTATGCATTCCATCCTAAGTGCTTGCTTACTGTTGAATGTTTGCAGGAAGCGGTGGTGGAGGTGCCAGAGGAGTATGTGGGAGCTGTGGTCGACATGCTGGGCACACGCAAGGGGCAAATGCTCGACCTACAGGCCTCCAGGTGAGACGCCAGGGCGTTCAGGTGATTCTTAGATAGGAGTCACCTGTGACATATGGTTACGCGATTCTGCGTCAATTCCCTGCAATCTCCCAACTCTTCCTTATCCCTCCCTGCTTGATTCACCCTCTCCACCCCTCTCCACCCGTCTCCACCCCTCCAGTTCGGGCAGCACAATCGTGAAGTATCGTGTGCCGACCCGTGGCCTGCTGGGGCTGCGCAACGCCATGCTGACTGCCACGCGTGGCACGGCTGTCATCAACACCATCTTTGACAGCTATGGCCCGTGGGCAGGCGACATGAGCACACGCGAGCAGGGCTCCCTGGTGAGTGTGGTGAAGTAGTTAAGTACCTGAGGAAGTTAAGTACCTGCTGGTCAAGTTCCTCTGATCCTCTGTCTTTAAATTGTGCCGTCTTCTCTCTCTCCACCAACCCGTCCCCTCCCTCCTTTCCCACTTCCTTTTCTTGCTGGTGTGATATGACACAGGCCCAACCACAGCGTACGCTCGCTTACAAAGCACTAATCTAGCACTTGTGCCCTCACTTGGCTGTGTCGTATTTTGCTCTGGTGCAGGTCTCGTTTGACATGGGCCCAACCACGTGTAGTGAGTCGATTTTTGAGTCGACTCAAAAATCCCTCACTTGGCTGTGTCGTATTTTGCTCTGGTGCAGGTCTCGTTTGACATGGGCCCAACCACGTCGTATGCGCTCTTCAGCTGTCAGGAGAGGGGGCAGCTGCTGCTTGGGCCGGGAGTGGAGGTGTACAAGGGGATGATCATCGGTCTCCACCAGAGGCCCGGAGACCTGGACCTCAACGCGTGCAAGAGGAAAGCTGCCACCAACGTGCGATCCAACAAGGATGCCACAGGTGCGTGTGTGTGTGCTTATGTGTGTGCGAGTGAGGGTATGGTTTTTGAGATGACTCCAAGGGAGTGGAGGTGAAGAAGGGGATCATCATCAGCCTTCACCAGAGGCCTGGCGACCTTGACCTGAACGCGTGCAAGAGGAAAGCTGCTACCAACGTATGATCCAACAAGGATGCCACAGGTGCAAGCGACCACCATGTGTGTGGTGTGGCTGTGTGTGCTTCTTTGGCCAATGTGAAATGGTATATTGGAGCTTACTTTTGGTTTGTTGCGTATATCTTGGCTTGGGTGCGTGTTTTTAACATTCTTGTTTGTTGGGTCTGTTTTTCCTTGCAGTGGTGTTGGCGGCGCCCCTTGAGTTCAGCTTGGATGATTGTGTGGAGTACATTCAAGAGGATGAGCTTGTGGAGGTTACACCCCTTTCAGTCCGCATGCTCAAGAACCCCAGGATGGGCAAGAAGGGAAAGAAGTGATCTGTCTGTTCTGTAATTTTCATTTCATATTGTTTACCTAGTTCTTTTTAATATATTGCCCATTTCCTAACGCAATTGAGCCAGACCCTTCGTAAGGAAGTTTCTCGACATTCCATTTCGCTAACCATCAACATCGCGTACAGCAGCAGCCGTGTTCGCCCGTTACTGCTGATGTGGCTTCGCCAACTTCGCGCGCATTGTTTCACCAAACCTTGCATCGCTGGCCCAGCCGAGTCGGCCTACGCTTCGGGACTAGCCCGAACCTCCATGCCAGCATAGCACTAGCTAGCTCGCACGCACCGCGTAACCGTTGCATGTTTTCGCACATAAGTATTTGCTCATGCCTTCGCTCATACTTTGTACTGGTTGAACACTCTAGTGCAATCCTCGAGTCATTGCACCCGTAACACTTCTGTTTTTTCACTCGAAGGGACTCACGCCCCTTAGCACCTAGGAGCCGCTGTCATTGCGTTCTCTCGTAAACCCGTGCAGCCACGACTGCGCCTAGACTAAGCAGAGCCGACGCCCTTCGACATGGCTGAACACATCGACATCACCACGCTCACGCAGGATCGTCTGAACGAACTGCTGCAGCAACTTCGCAAATTCTCTGAAGAAATTGCAGCGCTGAAGGCAGAACGCACGTCCCTGCAGAATGACGTCGCACGAGCACAGCAAGCACATTCGCAAGCACCTGGCACTCCGGGACAACTGTCAAAATGTCATAGTGCTAACATTGTGTAGGTTGTAGTGGGGTAGCCCATAAGGGGTACAACCTAATTAGGGTTAGTATTTGTACCCAACTCATTCATAGTTCATTCATTCTCGTTCAGTATTCTGACATGGTTTCAGAGCAGGTCCTGTTCCAGGACCGTTTTTTTTTTAGGGCCCACCGAATAGCGCTGCCCCACTAGTCGCGCTGCCCTGCCCTGCCCTGCCTTGCCCGTCGCGCCGCCCTGCCAGTCGCGCGCCGCCCTGCCAGTCGCGCGCCGCCCTGCCCTGCCTGCCGCGCGCTGCCCTGCTGGCTGCCGCGCCGCCCTGCCTTGCCCGCGCGCCGCCCTGCTGGCCGCCGCGCCGCCCTTTGCAGCCTGCGCGCCGCACTTTGCAGCCCGCGCGCCGCCCTTTGCAGCCCGCGCGCCGCCCTGCTGCTGCCCGCCCTGCTGCGCGCAGCCCTGCTGGCCAGCGCTGTCCGCGCTGAGCTGCCCTGCCCTGCCCGCGCTGAGCCGCCCTGCTGCGCGCCGCCCTGCTGCTGCCCGCCCTGCTGCACGCAGCCCTGCTGGCCGGCGCCCTGCTGCCCGCACCGCCCTGCTGCCCGCACCGCCCTGCTGCGCGCCGCCCTGCTGCTTGCGCCGCCCGGCTGCTGCCCGCCCTGCTGCGCGCAGCCCTGCTGGCCAGCGCCCTGCTGCCCGCGCGCCGCCCTGCTGGGAGCCGCAGCGCTGCCCGCACCGCTGCCCGCACCGCCCTACCCGCGCCGCCCTGCTGCTGCCCGCCTTGCTGTGCGCCGCCCTACTGGCCGCCGCCCTGCTGCCCGCGCGCCGCCCTGCTGACAGCCACACCGCTCTGCCCTGCCCAGCCGCCGCCCTGCTGGCCGCCGCCCTGCCCTGCCATTGCACTGACCTGCCCTGGCCGTGCGCCGCTCTTCCCTAGCCGTGCGCCACCCCGCCCTGCCCTGCACGCTTCCCTAGTGCTCGCGCGCCACCCTGCCTGCGTGCTGCCCTGCTGGTTGCACGGCACCCTGCTCTGCCTGCTATGGCTTCTCTCAGTGTTCTCACCTTCGATCATGAAGGCCGTCCGATCCAGTTCGATACGTGGCTAGACGACTTAAAGCTGTACCTACTGAGCAATTCTAGAGACAGCGTTTCGTTGTTTGACCACACGTCTGGAGCCTCTCTCGCCCCTCCGCCACAGCTGACAGTGCGACTCGCTCACAGTGGCTTACCCGTGACGCTGCTGCTCGCTTATCCGTTCGCAACCATCTGCCGTTAGCCGAACGCGCTCAATTTGGCCAGCACAAGACTGCAAAAGTCCTGTACGACGCTGTAGTCGCTCGTTACTCTTCCCCTGCCATTGCTGCTCTCGGCCGCCTTATACTGCCCTACCTGTTTCCCAAGCTGTCAGCCTTTGCCACAGTCGAGGACCTCGTTACCCACCTTCAACACTGCTGATATATTCACCAAGGCACTTCCACCTGGTGATCATCAGCGTTTCTGTACTGTTTTAGGCCTTGTGCCTACTTTGCCTCACTTGCTCACTGCGTAACTTTGCTTGTACTGTGATCTATATATATACCTGCATGCTTACACTTGCTAGGGTATGATCACTGTACGCTTTGTTCTCTTTTATATAACTCTGCATGTGAACTGGCCTTGGGGCCATTTTCCCGTGCTCGGAATGTGTGGTGACTTCGTGATCCACCCTGACCTTGCTTTGCTTTTCTTGACTGGTCTTGTGACCACTTGAACTCCCCCACTTTGCCTATGGGGGTGTGTCAAAATGTTATAATGCTTACATTGTGTAGGCTGTAGTGGGGTAGCCCATAAGGGGTAAAACCCAATTAGGGTTAGTACTTGTACCAACTTTCTGTTCAATGCATTCATTCTCGTTCAGTATTCTGACAACAACTTGCACTACAGACATCGTAGCACGGAAGTGTGGGGCAACCCGCGAGCGCGGCCAGTGATGGCGTCGTCCGCAACGACGGAGACGACGACCACGGCACGACACACCCTGAAGCGACGAATGCGGCCAGGAGTCAACCCCGCGCCACGATTTCTGTGCCGGCCGGATAATCAACACTGCAGTCGCCGATGCAGCTGAAACCGCAGCATCCGCCATGCTTTTGTTGGCTGAAAATAGTATGTGAGAACAAGATGAATTAATAGAAGCAAAGAGATACAACGATATATATATATATATGATTATAAGGAATACGAAGGGTTTAACTGTAACTGCTGTTGCAGTTCGATACAGCGACGACTCGGGTAACTGTTCAATAACGAGTCGTTCTTCTTGCAGGTCCATGTCTTGTTGTTCGGCATGAATTTTGGTGCAGAGTTTTGCTTTGGAGATTCTTCCATGGGCTCGGAGGATGGCTCGAGTGGAGTGCCACTGAGGACCAAGACCTGCGATGACGACAGTGACGAACGCTTCTTCGGATATTAATCCGCCGCATCGAAGGAGTCTATCCCGCAGGCTGCGACAGCGTCTGATATATGCCATTCCCTTTTTGCCGGGTTGCATTTGAACCGTTGTTAATTGTGCCATCAGACGACTTTGATTGACGTTGTCAGTTGCTTGATACAGGTTCTTCAGGTGGTTGTACGCGAGCTCGGCGGAGTTTCCGTATCCGCGATAAGACCGGATGTTCTGCTGCTCGTTTGCCGTTATGTTTCACAGAAGTATGGTGTACGCCATCAATGACTGGTATGTGTAGTGCTGCTTGTCGTAATGTGTCCCATGCGTTGGATATGGAAGGGAGCCGTCGAAGAAGCCAAGGATTTGAGCGCCTTCCATCATCAGCTCGAATTCGAAGGACCAGGTATAGAAGTCCTTTCCGTCAAACGGTGTTGATGTTTGTAGTTTCAGCACGTGTGAGAATTGTGACTGCAACTTAAGTGCATCCAGTGTCTTCGTCTCTTGTCCAGGTGGGAGCTGATTTGGCATGAAGCTGACAGAGCTGCGTTGAGGTACAAACGGTGCGAAGGTAGGCTGTTGATTACCGCGCGCAAAAGATGAGCCATCGAGACTCATGGGAGTAACTCCGTTGTTGTTGTCGCTGTTGTTTGACTGCGCAGGTGCCGCTTGTTGATGTTGTTCGTAGAACGACATGAACGAGAAAAATTTCTCCATCATACTTGGATCGATGCCGATTGCTTGGTTCACAGGAGTCTCAGTTGATTCAGCAGCTGGTCTTTGAGTTGTGCCTCCTTCTGTCTGCAGACCAGAGGCTGGCGGTGGAGAAGGAGTAGTACCGGGAGATGCAAAAGACGAGCTTCTTTCCTTCTGTGTTGCCATGTCTTCTGATGTTGCAGGAAGTTGATCAAAGTTGAGTTTTGTCTTGTAGGCTCTCATACCATGTTGGGCTGAAAAAGTCCATAGGATCGTTCAAGACTAAACTCTCAGAGTAGTGATGTATTTAGCGGAAGCGTAATAGTGGATTGAGTGAACCACCTTGTATTAGTATGTGAGAACAAGATGAACTAATAAAAGCAAAGAGATACAAGGATATGTGTATATGATTATAAGGAATACGAAGGGTTTAACTATAACTGCTGTTGCAGTTCGATACAGCGACGACTCGGGTAACTGTTCAATAACGAGTCAGTTATTTGTCCTTGCTGTCGCGCTGCCTTTGTCAAGTCAAAGGTCGCTGACCTTTGACCTTCGCTTCAACCTCCTGCTGTTGTCGCCTAGTCAACCGCTTTGGTTGACTCGGTGTTGCTTCGCTGTGAGTATACTTCTCTTTTTGTTATAGTGCTCGATACTTCAGAAGCGTAAACTAAATGTTTCCAACAGCTTTAACCCGAGTCAACAGGGTGGTCCTACCGTTCAGGCGTGGCTGTTCACGTTGAACGTTTTCTTCGACGCCAACTACGTCTCGAAGGATACGACAAAAATTCGCTACGCCGTGTCGCTGCTACGAAGACCCGCCATGGATTGGTGGCGTGTCATCGTCACGAAGCCGACTGACTACGCAACTCTACCGGCACGGGAAGGACAAACCAGACCCTGGGCACCGTCGTATTTCGTGGAGGTGCCCCAATATCGCACGTGGGACGCGTGGTGAGCAGGTCTGCGCGCTCGATTTGAGCCAATTGCGGCTTCGATCGCGGCGCATCAGAAGCTCCACACTTGGCACCAACTCGGTTCCGTCCAGGATTACACCAGCGGGTTTCTGGCGTTGTGTGATCAGGGGGGCTACATGCACGGATCTGAGCGCATCGACCGCTACATCGGCGGCCTGAAGCACGACATCGCTCAGGAAATCCAGCTCCGCGGCG